AAAACCACTATTGTCAGGCTGGCCTGATTTTCTGACAAAACTAGACTCTCTGTCTTATCAGGAACTTTCACTCTGGAACTTTCACAGAAACAAAACAATAAATCTACAAACCTAGCAAAGAGATCACCAAGCAAAGGCACACAAAGCCATTTGCCCAATATTCTCTGCTCACCCATACTGATCAATCCTCTCATGGTCTCAGGTAAGAATAATTCCTGCCTAAAAAAAAAAAAAAAAGATGTGACGCTTGGGGCTTAAAGTTTGCATTCTTTTAATTTAGCTAAGAGGTCATGAAGTGACATATTGATCTTCTATTGGTCATATGTCTTCACATGATACAAATTCACAAGTCAGAGCCCAACAAACTTAAACCAAACTGTAATGCAGCAATTTTTGCATGAGCTTGCGTTTTCTGTCTCCTGCATTCATGTGCATATGAATGGCAGTCAGTAAGCTTGTTTGGGATGAGCAAAATCAGCACTAAACCAATCACCGGTGAACACGAGATGCATGACAGTTAGAAATGTGTCAGGGTGTGGTCCATCGTGCTCTGATGTCATGCTGACGTATTGCAAAAAAAAAAGATTGCACAATTGCTCTCCCCAAAATGCACTGACTAAAGGTATGATAGAAAACGACTTGTTGACGACACCGCTTAATGCTCATTGGTTTAAACAATTGTGATGTTTTGTTCAATTCCAAAACTATGATATGTTTTACATTTATAAATATTCCTAAATATACACAGTGCGACCTCCATATGAAATAGGTAATTGTTTATATATATATATATATATTTCACACTCATGTGCTTTGTAAGAACGGTTCACCTTGACTGCACTTATTTCACTCCTCCCTGACTGTAGTCTGTAGCTGCCCACTCCTGTCCGCTGTCAAGATGAGGCATTTGACATATCAGATGAGCCTAAGGGAACAAGTGTAGTATAACCGCCCCTTAAAGGGATAGGTCACCTAAAAATGAACATTCTGTCATCATTTACTCACCCTGTACTTGTTCCAAACCTGTACGAGTTTCTTTCTTCTTCTGCTAAGCACAAAATAAGATATTTTATCAATTTGGTAACCAACAGTTGATGGTAGCCATTGACTTCCATTGCACTTTTTTTCTATACTGTGGAAGTCAATGGCTACCATCAACTGTTTGGTTACCAAATTGTTAAAATATCTTATTTTGTGCTCAGCAGAAGAAGAAAGAAACTCGTACAGGGTTGGAACAAGTACAGGGTGAGTAAATGATGACAGAATGTTCATTTTTGAGTGAACTATCCCTTTAAGCCACCAACGACCGGCAAGAGTTAACATGATTTCGGTCATTTTACTAACTTTAACCACACACTCTATATTCATCTTACACATATATTTCAATAATATTTCTCAAGTAATAAGGACATTTTATAGATGGCATGCCTAAGAATGTTGCTTAGACCACCTTTAATTTTGAAAGTTTATTACAATTTTGGACCTGAATCAACCTTTCGTGCATGGATAGTTCTGCGTAGTCCAGATGTTTATACAGTAACTGTTTTACAGAACATAACTTTCAGGTATTAGTAGGGATGGGTCACAGAGGTGAGCCAACGCCTCTCTTTCTTTCCCACTGCTTCTCTACGATTCAGGCGTGGCTGCACAAATACCCCCATGTCTACACCTGCTCTGTTACCACTTGTTGTGTTTTCAGTCTATGCGTAAGCCTTTTTCGTGACAACACATTACTCACTCTTTATTCTGACACACCCTTAGCAGCTAATTCCCAAGCTTGTCTAAACTCCCTGGCAAGGGAACACAGGCATGTTTGCTGGGTTTTTGGGTTGATTACATTTTTTATTTCACTAGAGAATCATAGCAAATTGTATAATGAAAGACGTATGCATTTTCTTTGCAAGCAAGAGTGACTTTGAGAGTACCTTAAAAGGGTCAAAGTACAGAATACATCTAGACAACATGCCAATGAAACATCTGTCTTACTTTCACATATACTACCATTCAGTGATTTGGTCATTAAAACTGCACACATTCACACACCACATGCTAACTCATCAGATACTACATCAGATGACGCACACCTAATGATTTCATCAACCAACAAAGACTAAGCCATTTTCACTCTTACGCAATAACAAAAGACAGTAAACTCTTCAAGCGAATACTGCCACTTAGTATATATAAACATCAAAGACTAGAGGAGTTATAAATCATGGTTTTATCAGCCTTATATAACAATATTCACTTTTTAACCACTGTCTGGAAAGATTCCACAACTAGAGAGGGAAAAAACTACATATAATAAACACAAAAATGTGACCTTTGGGTAAGTGGCCTTAATGGGAACTTGCAATTAAATAGCATATTGTATTGCCTATTTAATGACTTTTCAGAAAAATGTAAACAGTTATTAGTTACAGTACATAATTACAGATAACAAACAGTTATGGAGCACAATACAATTCATGAAACAGCATCTGGTACAGATCAACAGATATTGCACTTAATCAAATGTTTAATTTTTAATTTTTTTTATTATTTAACACCCAACCTGAGAACAAAGATAAATCTTTTAAATCTGTCTTGATAGCATTGTCTTAATGCTAAGTTGGTTTTATTGTGTTCACTGTTTTACCAAAAATCCATTATAAATAAATAAATAAATACACAAATAAATAAATAATGATATTGGAATTTTATTGAAAGTCAGAACCCACAAAATATATTCTGAACTATTCTAATTTTTAAAAGTTTTGCATTTGATGAATTTGTCAAAACCATAGCATAAATCAAACATTCTGTATTTTTAAATCAAAACTTTATAATTACTGAGCTGTTTTTTTTTGCATTAGTAAGAACCTCCCTTTGTGACAAATAGCAGCTGCTTTGTCTATAAAATATTTGTCTTTTTTAACCAGAGATATTTTAAAACAACTACAAGTGTACAAAAAAAAAAAAATGCAATAAAACGCAGTGTCTGCCTTATATCACATGACTGTGTTTATGACTCATGGCTGGGATCAAAGGTTAAATACTTTAATAAAAGGGTGTGACCACTGACCAGCATCTCTTTTCTGTCATAACAGGTGAACGTTCACACGTTCAGTGTAAACATAACAAAACCAGTGATGGTGTCAAGGTTACAGACATAAAGTAACAAACCTGCGCAATAGTTATTTCTTGAATGAAGCATCTAAACTCATTCTGTCCCTGAGGACTAAATAAAATTAACAAACCAGCAAGCAAATCATACACTTCCTAATTTGACAACAACATCCTACTGGAGTCTCTCTCTTTCCCTTTATCTGGATCATACTTGATTTCTAGAGGATTCTTTCATCTTTTGAGTTCTTGGCTAAGGATTAAAAATTTTTTTTTGCTATTTTTGTTTTCATGTCAGGTGTCTTCGATCAGTGAACAAAGGAGCAGTCCAACAATGAATTGAGCAAACTGAATGTGAATACAAGTAAAAACATGTTCTCCAAGCATGTGCCCAACCACTGCCTTCAAATCCTCAAGTTCTTTTGCTTCAAATGTTTTCTCTCTTCCGGAAACATAATTACAATAAAGACAATTCCTGTAACACTATTGGTCACCACTAGATGGCAGGCTTACGCAAATAATGCTTGTCCCTAAATATAAGAAGTTTTTGCTTCAAAATATGCACACACAAAAAAAATAATATCATTGCATACCTATCCCAGATAGCACACGTACATCTGCAAGACGTCTGTTAAAGATCGCTTCATCTGGAAAGCATCTGCTGTGTACAAACATCTGATAGACGTCTATAAGATCTTAGTTTTACAATCATTCTAAATCATAAACACCTTATAAACGTATATTTGACATCTGATAGGAAACGTCCTTTAGACGTATTGCAGATGAGCAAACGCTCTAAAAAATACGTCTTTCATGATGTGGAGGAGAGAGTGTTCAGTGCACGGGACAGACATTAGCCGAGCCGAGCGACAGAAAGATAGAGATTGTGAATAAAAAACTAAAGAGGAACTAAAACTAAAGAGAAGTAGGACCCGTGTAAATATCAGACCAGCTTTCCAGCGCTGGAGAGAACTCAAGGATCGGACGCCGAGGTTGCTTTGTTTTTTGCTTTGTTTCACAGAACTAATCGTTGCCTGGGTTGCGTACGTACGTGTGGGGCGGAGCTATCAAAATAGGGGCGAGACATGCATGATTGTTTTGATGATTTCAAATGTCAACATTGGCTACCAGAAATCGCTTACCCCACCTTTAATTTCATTTTGTAAATTGTCTTTCTGCCAGTTTGGACCGACAGATGGCAGCAGTTACAGCAAAATGAAAACAGGTCTATCATCCTCACACTAAATGATTTGATTATTAAAGAGCATGACTACTTAAATCTCTAAAATAATCTGATTTTTGTCTAAAAAAGTAGCTTATATACTCCTAAACAGAAGCTAATGGGCTTCTGGAGTTGAGCACACTGTGCTATCATCCACTAAATGAGTTGAAGGGGACGTTCAGTCGAGGTTCCGCCCTCAAGACTGTTTGGTCGGTCCCTGTCATCACCGGGGAGCGTACCGAGTGTATGCAAATTAAAATTAACGAGGTTATTTGTGTCGGAAGGAGAGATTCCTCGGCTCCTGAGTGGATTATGACGCGGGTCTGAGTGTAATGTCACGCGCGGCGCGTCTGTGGGGCTGCGTGTACCGGGACAGGTGGGTTACCTGTGGCTGTGAATGCTGGAAACGGGCACGGATCAGCAACATGCCGATGAAACGAATTGCTTTCCTTGAGCATCGTTGTTGTTTTCCGTCTAGAAGCGCGTTTGGGTAGTGGAGCGGGCCAAGCCGGTGACTTTTGACTATTGATTGATCGCGAAGAGTTCGTGACGACTTTTAAACGGGTGAAGACACGCAAACCACTCCCTGAGCACCGGACGCCAAGCTCTCTTTCTGATTGCAATTACGCGCATCCAGTGTAGCTAAACGGGGACTGTGAGGTTCTGACGCATTCCCGAACCGGGCTGCAGTATGTGCGAGACGCTGATGGCTGTGTCTCAGCTGGACATCGAGCCTCATCCACCGGAGAACGGCTTCGTCACCCCCGAAAGTAATAAATCGCCCGGTTTACTTACGCAGATCGACGGCGGCGTTTTGCCTAACGTGGGCGGATTTGGGAGATTTCAGAAACAGCTGATCGTTTTAACATGCATCCCGGCCATTTTCATTGGCTTCAGCCAATTTTCGGACAGCTTTCTCCTGCATGAGCCTCAGCCGTGCGCTCAAGTGCAGCCGAACAACAGCGAGCCTTCGTCCAATGTGTCGGCCGTGATGTATCGCGGCGTCGATAATGGAAGCAAATCCACTAATGAGTCATCACAATGCATCTGCATGCAGTCAGGATGTGAACTGCAAATTGGACTAGAGCAAAATGTTGTCACGAAGGTAAGAGTGTGCGTTCAACTCGTCCGTAATAGCAGCAATATTCCTTTTGCACTCAGTTTATCAGGGACCAGGGGAGGAACTCGAGCATTTGGCTGGCAGGCGGTTTCAAGTTCATGGACGTGCATAGCAGACAAGCATGCATGGTATTAACGCAGTTAAATGTCACACTTTTTTTTTTCATGCGAGCTCCCACATGAATGCACATGAATGTGAGTTTGTTTACAAAGCATCTAGGGGCCTGCATTACAGTGCAAAGGAGCAACTCTCTACACGCATGCCACAAAGAATGGCATTGCTGACTGAGATCAATATGAGTCAAATGCCTCAACAGCTGACAAGGTGCCAGCCATCACTGGGTTCCCTCATGCTGACCAGATGACATAACCACTCTTAAAAAACAACAACAGCACCCTTTTAACCATCTGTGTCCTGCCCTTTGGCCTCCATTAGCCTGTCGGTGTATTGTGCAATAGTGAATATGGGTCAACAAACTCTTGAGGGTTACACAGTAATTCTGAGCAGCCTACGGAGATAAGAGAAAGCCAGCGTAGGCCTTTTGTGTTTATCATATTAGTGACACGTTATGTCCTTCCCTGCTAATCTGGTAACTGGAGGAAGATTCCCTACTACTGTCTAGATGCTAATCATGATGTAATGTATCATGAACAAGCAGAGAGGAGCTACTTTAATACATATTTGCTTAAAATGTGTTGTCTTGTGCAACATTCGTAAAAATAATGTAAGGGGAAAAAAATCGTAAAAGACCCACAGGCCTATAAGCAGTGCACACATAGCCTGCAATGAGAGTGAATCAGCAAACTTGTACAAAAGCATCAATTTACCCATGGCTTTGTTGTTCTCTCTGAAAGGAAATCCTATAACTGTTGTTATGCCTTTCCAGCAGTCAAAAGTGATCCATTAGCAGGTGAAATTTATGGTTGCTGCATTTAAAAAAAAAAAAAAAAACTGGTTGCTTTAATATCACCTCCTTTATAAAGTAAGTTTTTTACACATCTGCTTGCTACATAAGTAAATGGACATGGATTATTAATTTGAGCTGACACTTTATTAGCTCACTTGTATTAAACTCAAAATCACAAAAGGAGCACTGTTGAGGGGCTCCAGGACCACTGAACTAGATGGAGCAGGGCTGCTGGTTAAGTAGACATCACTGCCTTTTACATTCAAGTCTGAAGTATTGAGTACATTTTTTAAAACTAATCTTTAAATCAAAGTCATGCAGGTAGGGGCACACCAAACGCTGCCTCAAGTTTGGGGTCATTCAAAAGTCTCTTCTGCTCAGCAAGGCTGCCTTTATTTGATCACAAAAATACAGTAAAATGTCTGAATTAAAATATCTGTTTTCAATGTGAATATATGTTCAAATGTATTTATTTTTGTGATGAAGAGCTGAATTTTCAGCATCATTACTCCAGTCTTCAGTGTCACGTGATCTTTCAGAAATCATTCTAATATGCTGATTTGGTAGTATTGAAACATTTCATGACTAAGTTTGTTATTTAAATCTTTGGCTCTCATTGCATTTAAAAATAACTACAAGTAGTACAACAAATGAAATGATACATTTGACACCTGTAGACACTAGTTTTGTTTCTCATTTAAACTCTATTTTAGAAATAATCTAAGCTATTGTAAATCTCATACATTTGCTTAAAGCAGTAGTCTTCACTGTATTTGAGCCATTGTCTGCGGTCAAAGACACTCGCTTGTTTTCACAAAGTCCTCAGCCAAGCCGCTAATGCTTCTTTCAAACCTTTCTCCAGTGTGATCTTCGGGAAAGTGAGCTGTTTCTGCCATCTGCTTATTTTATTTCAGAACTATCATTAGTAAAATGCTGCATGGATCTGTTGTTCAGGTTGACCACACATGTGTGATTGTCGTATTATTTCACGTGCTTTAGCTCTAATTCAACACATGCTTTGCATTTCTCATGCATTTCATGGATAGCAACTGATGGCTATTGCTGTTTTTTGTCGAGTGTTTGTTTCAGTCTTTGGAAGCTGACTTTACTGACGGTATCTGCTGGCACTGTGTTTTTGCATAAATGATTGCGTTGGAGTGACGCTTGCAAATGCCGGAATGATCAATATTTGTTCAGTTAGGTTGGCTTTGAGGTGTGCTTTTGTTTGTTGTCATACACTGATCATATAGGTTTTTTATGGCTGTGTCAAATTATCCAAATCATACCCAAGATCATAGTGATCCTATCCTCTTTTCTGTATCCCAAACTGCTGATGTACAATTGCTTTTGGCAACAATGTATTATCGTACCCTGCATTCATATTTTCTGTTCTAATGGTCGTGCATTTTGTACAGCTTAAACAGAAAGGTCATATCTTGTGTGGGGAAAGTTAGTACTGCCCTACATATACATTAAGGGCTTAACATTAGAATCCGGTGCAAATTGGTCGAAAATTGGCATCATTCACCTTAGTAAACTGGTTTGGTTTAGTTATAAGCACCAAAGTTCATAGTACCCAGTGCTGGGTGGTACAAGAGTATCCTATTTAAATCAATGTGATAAACAAGTTAGGTCAAAAGTAATCAAAAAAGTAGTCTGATTTTATTACCCGAAATGTGTAATGGATTATGTTACTAACTACAATTTTTGTCATGTAATTTGGAATCAAATCAGTAACAGACTACAATTTGTAAGTAATCTACCCAACACTGATCGTATACCATCATGCAAAGATCAAGATGTCTCACAAAGTCTCATTGGGTCAATGAGATAGATTAATAATGAAATGCTGACTGTTAACACACTTAAGTACAGCTCGCTATCAGCAAACTCAGCAACTCAGTGTGCATTTGCACCATAATTAAATGCACATCATTAAACTCTCACTCGATCTCACAGTCAATCTTGGCGGGTCCCTAACGAGAAGCAGGACTTCTGGGACAGTTTACTTCATGCAGATGAGACCGATTTTGACATGTTTGCTCACAGTTTCACTGGGTGAAAAGAAGCTGATAGCAACTGTAAGGCATGATAATGACCCAAAACAAGCAAGTGAATCTGCAAAGGAATAGCTCAGAATAAAGAAATGGTTGACTCCTCGACGCAGTGTTCAGGAATAAGATCTGTAGTCTTCTGCCCTGTGAAAGAGAGAATCTCTATGACTGAGGTCAGGAAGTCGGAAAAGTCCCTGAAAAATAGTCCTTGTTCTCCTCTGATCTCCTCCGACAGCCTCTGAAAGTCATTTTCCATCGGGAGAGCCCTTTCAGATTTTGAGGACCGTTCTAATTGCATTGGAGGCCCCACAGGCTTTTATTTGAATAAGATGAGGTGAAATGAATAGGAGAATATCATCACTGGGAGATACAGAGCTGGAGGATCGTGCACATTTGGCTCTAATGTTGCATTCTGATGACAAGGTCAGGATTAGAGCTGAAGGGTTTTGATCCAATAGCAAGAGTGTAAATAGGATCAAATTGAATCTTGATGAATGGCACTGCTCTGCATTTTTGATGAAGCTGATTTCACTGTCTGTCTTAATCAGTCTAGGATAAAAATACTGTAGGTGCTGCTGATCTACTGTACCTGAAGCTTTTTTTTTTTCATTTACTGAAAATAATAATGAGCTGAGTGTAACATTCAAGCCATCCATAACTCATATAGGCCCGTAAATGATTGTGTAATCAAGTATATTATATGGAATTAAAGGAGTTGTTTGGATAATAGGAGCAAAGATGCTGTTAGTGTTGCCAAATTTTGATCGGATTAGCAGCTGTTTGATTAAATTACTTCTAGAATGTGCAAATGAGACTTGAGGCCGAACCATAACATATTCATTTTAATTATGTAACAGCAAGCACTGTGTGAACATATTGTTCTGCATCTTGACTAAAGTAATTTTGTGTGTGTTTGTGTAAATATTGTAAAAAATTAGAAGTTAAGAACCCCAAAATTGAGGCAACCAGCTTTAGGACTTTTTTTGAGTTTAACTTATGAGTAAAAAAAATGGACCTAACAATTAAAGGTGGTCTGTGTTTTCATCAAACACACCTTTAAGTTGTATGAACGAAACATTTTTGTTTGCACCAATTTAGTTGTTCGTGTGAAAAGTGCTAAAGGAAATTCCACAAAGTAATTATTTATGTCTGCCATTTCGAAAGATCTGTGCTTTCCGAAGGATCTTTCCAAGCTGAGGCAAGTAATAAACTGGAATAAAAGCTTTTATGCACAAAGCTGCTGATTATGATAGTCATGTCTTAAAACAAAATCTGACCAATTACACCAAGCAGTTTAGTCAAATATTGCATGATTAAGAGCTTGTCTATCAATGTGCCTGATCAAAAATAGATTTTTATTTTTTCCTGAAGAAAATATGAATAGTGCTTGTCCATGCAAAACTGCAGTGCTATTGGGTGGATGTGAGGGGAATAATGGTGAAATTGGGTTTATGGTACTGCTCTATATCTATATGTCTCGGTGCTGCCATAGTGTAATCCCACAAATAATAGGAAATTATCTAATTCAAATGAATTAACATTACCCATAGCCTGCCTGTAGAATAGTATAGAACATAGTATAGAATAGAATGCCTTTGTTGTAATAAAAAATGATGAGGACATTGAAGATCTCAATGTTTAGTACAGCATAGTAGTGACGAAGTACATGTAGTACCTTGAGTCGGAATGAACCCTGAACATCCTCAAACCTTTTATACATTTACAGTTTATTACCATTAATGTAAATGAAGTTGCTCTTCTGTGGTAACAGCTGTGCTCTGTATGTTACACCCCATTGTCTGAGATTGTTCTCTGTGTCCCATTCCTGTTCTATAGTTGGTCACCATTTGCTCAGGATGTGATCATCCCAAATGATCTAGAAACAACATAACTGTTGACTTTCTTCTTCTGTATAATAATTAAGCCATTTTGGGAAATGAGCATGATCGAGCATCTACTGTGGAGTTGAATCTGGGTCGGGGCAGACTACAGTTTCTTACATTGCCATTGCACATTTGATGTAG